CGAAACAGTGAGTTTTCATTTACAGGATCCGTCACGTTATTCCATCTAGCAGCAGGCTTTCAACATCTGTTACAACAACGGAGACATTTTGTCACTTTCATAAAATGATGGTCATATATATATATATATGCCTGATAATAAATTGCCCTCCTGCTTAGATCAGTGGTGTCCAAGGTGTGGCGCGGGGGCCATTTGTAGCCCTTGAAATGATTTTGATGAGCCGCCCGACCAAAAGTCAGAAAAAGGTAAATGTTTTTCTTTTGATAAGGCAACAGTCTGAAACCTTACTTATGTTTGGGATCTTTACAGATTTATAGATTTTATAAAAATGTTTATTATCAACAGGTAAAACAAACAAACAAAAAAATAATAATGCAAATAAACTAAGTTTTGCATTTTTAGCTTAATGTTTTTTGTTGCCCGCCAGGAGTTTAAATTTGCCAGTTTTGAAAGAAAAATGTCTGGTTTTCAAGGTCCCCAGTAAAAAAAAGCTGACATGTGAGTCATTAAGGTGTCTCCGGAGGGGACAGAGCTGCAGACGGACTGTAATTTATCTGGGTTATTAAACTCCAGCGGAGCGAAGGGCAGCTGAGGTGCACGGTTCATGAAGGAAACATCATACAACACTATGGTAGCCGGTGATAAGCCTGCCTGTAATCTGTGTAATGACACAGCAGCTGCAGGTGAGAGAAGTCACACAAGAACAAAAAGTTCCATTAATAAAACATTACTGTAATAAAACAATTAACATTCCAGCAGAGAGGCCTTGACTATGTCTGCTGCTGAACCCTTAATGGAATGTTTTTGGTGGACCTCTTCTTTTCAGCTCTTTTTGGGGCCTACCTATGCAATGCATGGCAGGAACCTATGTTCTACACCCAATAAGGTATTTCTTTATTATTATTATTATTATTATTATTATTATTATTTTATTTATTCTTCTTGCATCACCCTTAATGCAGCCCTAACTGCTGCATACACCCCTACAAAGGTGGTATCAAAACGTGCAGCTTACTCCCGTGAAGTGCTCTATTCTTTTTAGTAGCATTTTGAGTTAAAATGACGACATAAATTGCGAAAAACAACAAAATCCCATACAAGTCAATGGAGGCTCAGCCCTTTCTATCTCTCGGTCGAACCCAGCGTTCTGATGTTAAAAATTAGCATCAATGCTAAAGTAAACTACAATGTACTCAATAGCATGTGGAGAGTTATAAGCATGTTGAGTAACATGGACTTACTCCATTCAATATCTTAAAATTAGTGTATAAGCTAAAATTAGCCAAGATGCTAATTTTGTTCAAAAAACATGATTTATTCTGCTCTATTGAAATACTACTTAACTTGCAATAAGTACTACTCAACAAGAATTGTGCAGTTGTGTTTTTCTGAAAAGTGAAAGTTTTTCTGTCTTTGTCATTGGAGGTAAATATATTATAAAACAGACATTCAACACAAAACCAAAAATCTGATTTATACTACTATTTTGTCAGCAGTTCACCAGAAAAAAGCGGTAATCTCAACACCAAATTAATTATTGTTTGTAAAACATAAGCTCTTTTGAAATACTGCTTATCTGTGTAGACACAAGAAATTTACAGTTGGTAAATTTTGCAAAAGTAAAAGTCAGATGTTTACTTTGTGGCACTTTGCTACCAGAAAATGTGTTGATGGATGGATGGATGGATGGATGGATGGAAAAACCAGAGCGCCTGGAGAAAACCTATGCATCCAATTTAAAGAGTGTATCATAGAAAGAAATACAATGTTCAGTACAGGTAGGGATGCAAGTTATTAATTAATGAGTTAATGTACAGTTGATTAGATTAAAACAGAAAATTATGGTGATGGCCAAACTAAAGAAAGTCTATGCGGACATTGTTATTTAATGATTGGAACTGTCCATCCATCCCTCCATTCCTCCAATGCCAGGATCAATCTCCACGTTTTGATACCATTTTTGTGGATGGGTACACAGCGGAACAAGCCACATTAACGGTAATGGAAGAACTAGACATATTAAATTCCTGGAGAAATTTAACTGGGGCCTTTCTGACGTGTGCACATCGATTTGGACCCGGCGTTTTGACGCTTAACAAGTAACACGTCCGTACAAGCCAGCAAGCTTACACAGCCAGACTTGCCCTTGGTAAGAACCAGGACGGGCTCGACATGGTCCACCACCAGCGTGCAATAGCTGAAGCTTATGTCAAGTCCATCACCATAGTGCTATGGCTGACCTGGTTCACCACTACAGTGCAATGGATGAACCTCATGCACAGTGAAATTCAGTCCGAGAGTGACGACTATACGCTTTGCACATGTGGTTCTCACTCACAGAGCGAAATAAAAAATAAATAAAAACGTTGGATAATTGTTTTTTTCTAGAAAAATTTCAACCTTCATACTGAGGATTTTAATTCACACTCAAAAATTCTGAGAAATAATACATTTATGTAAACAAAATATGGATAGTCACAGGAAATATGTATTCTTTCCATAATGCATGCAGGACATGCACACATCGGGCAGACCCCAGTTAAATTTCTTCAGGAATTTAATGTGTCTAGTTAGTTTTTATTCTCCCGCTGTGCTTCAACGAAGTTCTGCTACTTTTTAGCTTAAGGGAAACACTCTCTGCATCATTATAGCTAATAAGTATAAGGTGATCCTGCATATTACTAATGATCAACCACATTGATACTACACTAAAAGCCTGTCTGACCAATAACCAACCCAGACTCTGGTTCACAGAGGAGGACTGCAGCTCCTGAGATGATGCTCCAAACCTGCAGCCGAAGGAGTTTACAGCTCAGGTTTGGCTGCAGGAAGAAGAGATGCCACAGTTTCCAACATGTCACCTGCTGAAGAAAAAAAAAAACTGTTTGCTTTGACAAAAAGAAGAAAGGAAGGAACTGACACAAATCTGTTCCCATGTCAGTTTGAATTCATAAAAAAATAGCTGCTGGAAGATTATACAAAAAATATGATAAGAGAAATTAATTGGACTGAATTGTGAGATAATTCAGTTATCTCACAGTTAACTCCCCACCTTCACACACAAACGCTCGCACGCACATGCACACGCGCACACACACACACACCCACACCCCCCCACACACACACACTCACACACAAACAAACAAACATTACAGTTAGACTTTTAAACCAACATATCAACACAGAATTGCTTTCATTTGCACTTTACCAAACAAAATCTCGCTTTCAGTCTCATAGTTTTAGTCTTTCAAGAAAATATTGCCTTTAACAAAGGCTTTAACCCTCACTTCCCTTATTATTGCAGTGAATGCAATAATAATGCACTGTAATAATGAATGGTGTTTTGGCATGTAGACCAAAAATAAAAGGATATATTTCTTTTGGACAATAGCAATTACAAATAATGGAGATTTGATGTGAATCTGAGAAATGAACAAAGAACAAATACAACAAGACATAATAATAATAATAATAATAATAATAATAATAATAATAATAAATTATTATTAGTAATTATTATTAGTAATTATTATTATTATTATTATTATTATTATTATTAATTAATTAATAATAATAATAATAATAATAATAATAATAATAATAATAATACTAATTATTATTATTATTATTATTATTATTATTATTATTAATAATAATAATAATAATAATAATAATAATAGCAGTAATAATAATAACAACAATAATAATAATAATAATAATAATAATAATAATTATTATTATTATTATTATTATTATTAATGAATGTTATTCATTACTAATGAATAACATTCATCTAAAAACATTCATTTGAACTTTGGCAAAAACAAAATGTAAATCCTAAAAAATGAAAACAAAAGAAGAAAACAAGAAAAACGTAACCTCCATTTCTTTTCTGGCGCAGCTTTGATTTCTGCAATAGAAAAAGTACCGATGTCTGGTATCAATATTGTCATATTTTTGCAGTTTATTAGGATGGATTAAAAAACAATTAAACACAAAAATTCATGTTTTCATGCTGCATCAATCGCTCTTTGCGAACTGAAATCCACGAAAGTTCATGTTTAATCTCTAAGACGCAGGGAAGAAAACAGCATACTTTCTAAATCATTTGCAGTAAAATGCAGGCGTTCTTCGACGCATGTAAAAGTGTTTTCAAGCTTAAAATGCTCCTATTAAATATTCCAGGTATGAAATTGAAAACTATGTTGACTTGACATCATTTCACAAAACAAATGTCTTTATTTGAGCTTCTTTCTCCATCAATAACCTGTAAATAACACGAGCGACGCGGAGTGATCTGACCGTGATGCAGCCCCACAGTGAGAAAATCCTGATGTCCACAGTTTATGATTCATTTCCGACTCCATCGACTTCAGTGGGGGAAATTTTTGCACAGTCTTAATATTTCATATTTTTTTTAAAAATTTATTATTATTTATTTTTATTGAATGGACATTTATATTAAAACCTGTCCACTATAGCATTGTCTCTGCTGAGAATAATCTCATGGAGAAATGAAATGGGCACAAATCCACATTTATTTACAGTTATTATTTTAAATATTTCAATACAAAGTAGAAAAAAAATGTGATCGGGCTCTTAATCTTTACTGGCCTCGTTCTGCTCTTATCATTTATGATTAGACGGAGGATTGTTTTGCTGACTGGAAGACACCCTAACATTGCCTATAAATAACAGGGCTGAGCTTGCTTTCTGGGTCAGTCCAGGTGGGCAGTCTCCGATTCGCTTATAACAAAAAAATAAATAAAAATTAAAATCGTGGTTGAAAAATTAAGCAAAACGCAATAAAAAATAAAAACCAAAATAGGGGACATTTTCTTCAGATAAATTAGGTCAATTTAAACCCTTTCTGATTGTCAAACATATAAAAAAATATATAGGCCCATAAAAGAAATCTTCTAAAAGTGTGAACGCTGGCCTCTCACCGGCGCTTATGTGGAATAAAACCATGAATATGCGCAGTTCACCCTTTCTTTAAAACCACTTTATGGCGCAGAGGCTACAACAGGGTCCGAAGTCCATGAAAGTTTTGCCGATAAGGGGAGCCAATAAAAGCAACAGAGCAGCAGTGTAAACACGTCTACCTCTGTCCGGAGCGGCGGATTTACATCAGCCGGCCCACTCATTACCATGTTTTATATCCCCCTGCGCTCAGAAAGCATCATGGCAAAGCGGCTCCATCCTCCCCTCCAACAGGGAAGTGAGTGAAGCTGCCTCGCGTAGCAGGTGTCGCGCGGACAGAAACTCCCCCTCCCTCCGACAGCTCCGGACTCCTGGAACTTTATTTATTTATTTAAAAGTTTTTTTCCCCCCTCTCTCTCTTTCCCCGTCGTTTAATTGCCCTCCATCCTTTCTCGCGGTGCTTATGTCGTGTTTTTAATGTTCTCCAAAATGGTCTCGAAGCTGACGTCCCTGCAGCAGGAGCTCCTCAGCGCCCTGCTGGACTCAGGCGTCACCAAAGACGTTCTGATCCAGGCCCTGGACGACATGGACCCCAGTCCGCCGCCGCAGGGCTTCGGGGTGAAAATGGAGAGCCTGCCCGTGTCTCCCGGCAAGTTGAACGGCGCCGACGCGGACTCCAAGCCCGTCTTCCACACTCTCACCAACGGACACGGCAAGGGCAAGCTGTCCGGAGACGAGGGCTCCGAGGACGGGGACGACTACGACACCCCGCCGATACTCAAGGAGCTCCAGTCGCTCAACACTGAGGAGGCCGCGGAGCAGCGGGCAGAGGTGGACCGCATGTTGGCGTGAGTTTTTATTTTTTATTTTTTTTATTAAGTTTTTAAGCTTAAGTTTTGAAATTACGCTATACGGATAAAATGGCGTCGAAACAAAAATCTCACTTCTTTTTTAAAGTTATAGGTTAATTTTGAGGGGTTCAAAACTTAAAATAAACAGAAAAGCAGGCCCTCGTTCTCCTGAAAGAAATTTCTTTCTTTGTTTACAAATTTAAAACAACCCGCCACGCTTTTTTGGTTACTAATTATCTAAATAGATTATTTCTTTACCTTTGGAAAATATCAGCTGAACTAAGATCTATTTATAATTAACTATACTCCACCTCTCAGCGATAAAAAAGCCGGCAACAAACAGGAGAAAGCAAACAAGTACTTTCAAGTATAATAATGAATTATCATTATTATTATTACTTGCAAAATTATTTTTTATTTTATTTATAAAGTACCGTCAAGACACGAATGTAACCTAAAGAGACACACAATAAAAAACATTACAAGAAAACAAAAATAATAATTAATAAATAAAACAATTCAATAAATCTTTCAGTTTTGATTAAAAGAACGGAATTAAACATGAATAAAACCAAACATAATAAAAAATAGAAAAAGTTGAACATTTTTTCAAAAGCTTCAAACTGAGAATCACACAGCGTTTAAAAAGCTAATCCATTTCAAATAAATCTCTCCTCTCACTTTTGCAAAGTTAATATTTGATGATTTGATCCTTATATATACATAACTTTTCTACCAATTGGTATCATATAATTAGCTGAATTCGACCGTATTATAAAAAATTATGAAATTGCTGCGTATAGCTGAATTTGGTTTTATATTGATACGAATTGTATCGCTTTGCTTGTAAATCTTTATGTAGCTTAACGCAAACAAATGGAGCGTTCAAGTGCCTTCAGATGACTTTTTTTTTTTGCTTATTGTTACAACACAAATAAACGTGTTTGAAACGAGCGGGATTCGTGGGACAAATATCACAACTAAACCCACGTGTAGTTAAGTTATTATTAATTTTATTCTATAAATCATCAACTGGAAGACACACAGTGGCGTGTGATTAGAGTGAATGGAGAGATTCTGGTTATTCATTGTCAAAAGTTATAAACTAACATCTCCCCACTTCACCCGCTACACTTTAAACGCCAGACCTCCACATTCTCCAAAACAAACAGTCGAGAGCAGATCTGCTTTATAATCGCTGATGTCCGTCTGTCTGCCGCGGTTACTGTTTGATTACCGGGCGACTATTCCTTACAGAGAGAGTCTGGGAAATCTGAGTTTATACCAGGGCAAATCCGCAGGTAAGAAGATACCATTTAATATTAAATTAGAAACTTTTTTAAACAACTTTTTTTTCTTTTTTTGTCTAGATTGAACATATGGAAATTGAATGTAAAATCAGGCTAAAATGAAATTGTTGTTTCATGTTATGTCAAGGAATTCCGACAGATATCTGAATTATTTGTGAAGTTATGCCTGATTTTTGACTCAAAATGTAAAATAATATATATCATAAAGACTGAAAAAAATTGCTTAGGTTCTATTAGAATATAGGTTTACACCGTACAATGTCATAAGGCAAATAGTCCTAGTTTCTCAACCTCTGTGAATCCACCTGAACTAACCTTTGAAAATATTTACAGCCACTGGAATGTGTGCTTCAGCGATAAACTGACTCATAATGGCTGCAAACTCCTTTCATCTTCTTGCAAAACAAGGAAGCTGTGTTTTTGCAGTAGTCAAAATTGATGCATTTTCATATGTTTTTATGTCAATTTTTTTATTTTTTATTTCAAAAGCTCGCATTTCCACCTTCGATGTCTGAACCAAAGTTTGCTTTCTGTTTGCCAGCGAGGACCCATGGCGGGCGGCTCGTATGATCAAAGGTTACATGCAGCAGCACAACATCCCCCAGCGGGAGGTGGTGGACATCACGGGGCTCAATCAGTCTCACCTCTCCCAGCACCTCAACAAAGGGACGCCCATGAAGACGCAGAAGCGAGCGGCCCTCTACACCTGGTACGTCAGGAAGCAGCGGGAAATTCTTCGACGTAAGTTAATGTTTGAGTTTCTCACGGCTTCCGGTTTTAGATCCATAGCCATGCGGCCGACGAGCAGCGTGCAGCTGTTCGTTTGCGTGTCCGCAACATGGCTCACATTTAGGCCTGCCACCACGACAATAAATCGTCCCAGGAATTATTTCGATAAATGATAATATTGTCATTTTGAGATGGTTTTTAACTGATATAACAATGCGATATTAATGCAAGTACACACACTCAAAAATCAGAAAAGCTTTAGTTTTTAACAAACATTTTAACACTGCACCTGGAAAACATTTTAGATGTCTAAAATAAAAAAAAACGTAATGAAAATGGATTATAAAGTCTCTGTGACTAAATTTGCATTTCATAAAATGTTACTGTTAAGTGTGATAAGGGAAAACAGGCAAAAGTGGAAGGTACTGTTAAAGAAAAGTTAAAGCTAAATATTTTTTGCAAGGTGTCAAATATTTGCAATGTTTTTCAAAATGGCTGTTCTTCAACTATATTAAAGGGGAGTGTCTCTTTAAAGTCTCCGACTAGATTATAATTTATCAAGCTATTAATTGATTTAATGCTTGTTGTGATAAGCCTACTCACATTAATCCTGCTGGTGTCGAATGAGCTCAAGGTTGCATGAGGTTGTAATAAACACTTGTGCATTCTGGGTAAAAAATTCAACTTCTATTATAATTAACTGGAGGGATCAACACAATGTGGCATGAATGTTCACTGAAGTGATTACAAAATTGTTATTTCTTACAAAAAATGTAAACAAAAATGAATAACATGATGCAATTCTTATTTTCACACCTTGGAGAAAAATGGGAAAATATGTAATACTCTGTGACTTTAATATATATTATTAGCTGGTCAGTTAGATGGGCTACCTGCTCTGACACAGTCTGCAGTCAGTATCTTAGCAGACATCTTAAACTGCTGCCTGAACAAGATTGATACATTTTGTTCTTTCTAGTGTTCCAAATAATGGCTGCCTTTGATTTTCATGAGAGAAAACATTTCTGACCAGGCAGTGCTGTGTTAAATGTCAAATATCTGGAGAAAGCTTGTTCTCGTAGACTTTGAAACCCTGGTCTATCGTAATAAAGTTCCTTTAAATCATTGAATTTATTTACTTTTATTGTGACGTTTGGTGATATTGAAATGGTAAATGGACTGAACTTAAATAACACTTTTCCAATCATTTTGACCACTCAAAGCAATTTACACTAGAGTCACATTCACCCATTTGCACTCACATTTATACACTGATATGCAGATTGGTAGGCAATTTGGGGTTAAGTGCCTTGCCCAAGGGCACATCAACATGTGGCAGGAGGAAGCTGGAATTGAACCTACAACCTTCCAATCACAAGACGACTGCTCTACCCACAGAGCCACAGTCACCACATCTGCACTTTTTAAAGGAAAGTGCAGATGTAAATATAAATGTACACTGATGTCTTTCAAAGTAGCATGTGGAGTATAACATGCTGATATTATCTGGTTGTTTAGTTTAACGATATACTGCGGTAGCTAGGCAGGCTAGTTGGATGCCAACTTCAGCGAGGAAGTTGGCATCCAGCGCTTCTTTAATTCCCATGCATTACTGGCCTTGTTATTTGTATAGCTGCTGTAAATATATCTGAACGGACAAATCTGTATTTCAACCAACCTTAGTGAAAGCAGAGGTGCCAATATGTGTATTTTGGTATCAATCTCATATCAAATAAATATAGGGCCAGTATCAGATATACTGATTTCCGATACTGATAACTGACACTGATAATTTTTATTAAAGTTTGACATATCAAATTTCTGACATTTAGATGCTTTTTTTGATCTTTCCTTTA